AATAAAATAAAATAAAATAAAATAAAATAAAATAAAATAAAATAAAATAAAATAAAATAAAATAAAATAAAATAAAATAAAATAAAATAAAATAAAATAAAATAAAATAAAATAAAATAAAATAAAATAATAAAATAAAATAAAATAAAATAAAATAAAATAAAATAAAATAAAATTCATTAGCAGCCTGTGGGAAACAGGTAGGAAAAACAGACTCTCTGCCTCTTCCAGTGCAAGAGCTGGGCAATCCCTGCGCGCCCCATCCATTTACGATCTCCCTGCCACGGGATGAGACAGAGGCCAACTGTTGTGTCAAAAGCAGCGGGAGCAGAAGAAAAAGCTGTGCACAGCAAAAGCAATTTCAAGTCACTTGCAGCCAATATTCTGGGGAAGAAACACCAAATATCGCCTGTCTCCTTCTCACCTGGCTGTCTGCCTCCGGCCACGCTGATCCAGACCCCGATATGCTTCAACCAGACCCTCAAAAACCTTATTTAAAGGCTTTTTAATTTTTTTTTTTTTTATCTCTGCATGTTTTCCTGGCTGCTCGGTATAAGCATTAAGCCCGTAGGTGTTTCTATACCTCTAGAGGTGTGACCTTCTCCTGGCTAGAGGACACCTACCCCCTCACCAGCCTTAATTTACAAGGGAAGGCTGTAGGATATCTGTAATTTTTTTTTTTTAAAAAAAAGAAGATAAAAAGCCCAGACAATGCAATTTCCTGGGGCCAGGCGCAGGCGCGAGCGTGTTGGTCATAAGGCGAGACGTTGCCCAAGAACGGCTTCACTCTTGGGACGCTCTTACAATCTTCTGAGCTGGTCATGGCTGATGAAATAGTTTATGCTGATTTAAGGCATCCTGGGAATGGTTTTTCTCCTGCCGAGAAGCATCACGGTAAGTGCTGTATTTCAGGAAAGCGCTTATTTCAAGCTTTGCTTGCTTTGGGAAGAGTTTTGGGTTTGCTTGCTTCTCCATCCCCATGTTGAGGTTTCCAAGATATATGGCGAACGCTGGATGGATTAAATGTCCTCTTAAGGTGGGATCCTGGCTTGTGTGGAGGGGGGAAAAGCAAGGAAGGGATGGGGAAGCCCGCAAGCATCCGGGAGTTGAACAGTTTCACCTCTGAGACCCTTCACTTGGTGCCAAAAAGGAGTCCCAAGAAGCCCAACACACCTTGATGAGAAGCAAAGCTGCTGAGATCGTGCCTGGGATCCTGGTGGAGATGAGGTCTGCAGGGACCCATGTCCCACCGACTCCCAGCTCTACCGTGAGCCGGTTTTGCCTGTTCTAAATTAAGGCAGTTGCAGAAGGTTTTGGGTCTGCTAAGCTCCATCGTTGGGTGCCCAAGGCTGCTCCTGAAGCTACCTGCAGCCCCTCCGCCACCTGAAAAAAACACCCTTAGGTGATGCCCTCACTTCTGTGTCCAACCTCTAGACCTCAGCAGTGGTGATTTGTTTTTTCTGGAGGAAGCAAAGCAGCTGTAAACTTCTGCTCAAACTCGCTGGCTTGACAGAAGGGCGTTTTTTTTCCCCTGTAAAAACCCCATCTTTTTCACGTGAAAATGTGCGCTTTTTTTTTAAGCAAATGTGGCCTCTTTCAGGTCCTGCCTTGTGTCCACAATGGCATGGGGTCCTCCTCAAAGTCAGTGTGCTGGGGCACCTTGTCCTGCTGGTGGTGGTGGTGGTGCTGAGCGTGCAGGGTGAGTAACCAGCTCTTATCTACAATCTCAAAACCCAGCAAGCAGGCTTGGAGGGGAACCTGTGTTTTATTTCAGCCTTTGGAAGGGACGAGGTTGCCCCATGGAGATGCGACGAGATGCATCACCCACCAAGCATAGACCCCCTCTGAAATAAACCTGGACTACCCCTGTAGCTCTTAAACAAGGGTGGAGGATACAAGCCATGTTTTGCAGGCTGGCTTAATTAACAGGATGCAACCGCAGTGGCAAAAAACAAGGGCTGCACGAAATCAAATTCAGCCCTGTGTGGGTTTTGTGGTTTTTATCCCCAAATGGCCGCAGCCTCTCACCCCAGGTCATTCCTCCAAGTTTTTCAGGGCTCTCTGCAGCCAGCAACGACAAGCGCACCCCAGCAAGGCAGCGAGATCCAGGGAAGGAACCACAGGGAACGATGCCTGATTTCATCCCTGATACAGTATTTCTGCAAGCCCTGTCGGGAAAGCCCCACAGGTAACCCCCTTCCCACCTGGCTCTGCTGGGAGATGCCCAGGTGGGACCTTTGATGGGGCTTCCCTCCCATCCTATTGCAAAGATGCCCTTGGGGATGTGTTGCAAGGAAGAAATTTTTTTGCATGCAATTTTTGCTGCCCCCCCCCCCCTTCATGGAGGATCAGGATCAACTCTAGGGAGGAGGTTCCTCCCCCCCCTTCCTCCACCCCAACCAGCTATTAGTGTCTTTGTGGTCACCCCACCGCAGTCCTCCTCTCCGGTGGCTGAGCAGGGAAAACCACAACGATGTGAAAAAACTCAAAAATGGGGAAAGAGCCAGGGTGTGGGATGGGGAAGCCCTCGGTGCCCTTCAGCCGGTGGCTGGGGAAGACCTTGACCACCTTTTGGGGTGTCTCATGGCTCTTTCTCCTCTTCAGCCTGTGCTGGCTGCAGGCTGTGTCCCCAGGACTGGCAGCTCCACGGGGAAAAATGCTACCGGCTTTCCAAGGAAAAGGGAAACTGGTCTCAAGGCAAGAAAGGCTGTGAAAATCAGGAGTCTCAGCTGGTAGTGCTCTGCGACAAGAAAGAAAAGGTAAATACAGAGGAGAATGCTTGAAAAGGACCTGAAAATCTTTTTTTTTTTGGTGGGCAGGGGAGGAAAAAGCGCCTGGCAGCAGGAGGGTTTGGGACTGCAATGGTGGCTCTCACCCATCTCCTGCTCCGATGTCTCCCAAGAAGTGACCAGGAAGAAAAAGGGGCTGAATCGTCACCTAAAGCCCCTCCGTGTTCCCCTCCCCACCCATGACATGGGAGAAAGAGGAGGGATGCAGACATCGGTGTCTCTGGCTCTGAATTAAGCTGCTTTCACCCCGGAGCTGCCTTTAGAGACGGTGCATGGCGGTGTTCAAAGCACGGAGGCCATTTGTGTCCCACCTATTTGGGGATGAAACAAGTCAGATTTACTCCGTGGCTTTGCACCCCACGAAACTCTCCACAGAGAGGTTTCAGAAGCAACCGGTCATCTCCATTTCCCAGGAGTACATCAAGAATATTACAGGCGGAGGCACGCAGCCGGTGTGGATTGGATTATCATTCCGCAAGAAGTGGACATGGGTGGACAACACACCCCTCAACACCAAAATGTGAGTGTATCCGCAATCTGTTAACATAAAAAGTGGCTTTGCTCCATTTCAGACCCGATGCGTGTCCCAACCCATCACTCCAAGATTTTGCTGTCTACGCAGCAGTCCCGTATTCCCCTTGCCAAAGCTTTGCAGACCAAGAGTTGGGTTTACAGAGCACGGTAACCCAACATCTCCCGCCATATACATGCAACCAACATGGCTTTTAATGGCCCATGCGTGCTCCTTGCAGATCTTATTGCAAGCACAACAACCCGCACTCAAAGCTGGGCAACCCATCAGCGAGAAATCATTTGTAGCACGATGAGATGGCGCATAAAAAGGGCAGGAGAAATCCCCCACCTCCCCTCTTCTGCAATCCTGGAAGAATTTGCTCCTCTCGGGCAATAAAATTTTTGTTCTGCAGGTTTGACCCCCTGCAAGAGGTGGCTGAAGGTTGCATCACACTGAAAGACAAGGTGGTGGAGGTTGATACCTGTGACACTGAACACGAATGGGTTTGTCAGAAAGAGCCTTTCCAGCTCTCCCCATCGCTGGCAGGAGATGGAGAGAAATGCGATGCCTCCGTCTGAGACGTGCCCGTCCCGAAATGCCCAGCCTGCGAGACGCTTGCTGCCAATATTTGGGGTGAAGCCAGCCCTGTGTTCGTTACGGCTCCATGAGAGATCTCAGGGTTTGCAAATGCATTTCCCACGCAGGTCAAGACAATTTTTTGGGGGTGCAGATGAGCCCCCAAGCTGGGAAACCAGAAACGTCTGTGCCCCGGGCGCTGTGTCGATAGAGCTATGGCATCAATAAAAGCCTATGAAACTGGTTTTCTTCAATTTGTTGAAATAACAGAGATTTGCAAATAAGAGTACAGGTGGCATGAAATGTATTTTAAATATTGCAAAGTTCAATTAAGAAAAATTTTCCTGAGTGGTTCTTAAAACCCACTTAACTGCAAAACGGGATGAAATTAAAGAAGACACAGAACTTCAGGAGGGATTAGGTGATAATGATCCCAGCAATCAACTCCCTACCTGGGCAGAATTAATGCATGACATCATTGTAAACCATGCCCATGAAATGGGGTGGGAGAATCCTGCTGACTACACCAATTTGTCACAAATGAGTGACTTAGAACACTTAAGGAAACACCGAAAAAGGTATTAGCAAAAGTGGTTTTAATATGATGTTGCAAAAGTGCAACTTAACAAAGCTCAGCGGCAAGGCTCATTCTATTAAGTACTGCGCAGAAGAATCATACAAAGGAAAACGGAGTTACACTCGAGTTAGAATGATTCACAGAGAGACCAGGGACACAAAAGGGTAAGGAGGACCCTCCTGTTGAGTCACGAGCTTCAGAGTAGACCCCCCTTGCTTTCTAAGCTCTTGATGGAGCTTAGGTGTGGCTGGGTCCAACCTTAGTCTCAGACTTGAACAGTTTATGTGTAAGAGATTGTACATTCCACGTTTATATAGTGTGTCATTAGCATCAATTCAGCGTGCCATCTAAGTCACCAAGACAAAACCCAAAGTTTCCATACTTACGAGGTTGTGCGTGGTACCAGTCACTTACCAAAAGTCTGTCGTTGGTAAAAGGCCTCTCTGGCTCAAGGAAGATCACCACCATGCAGCCACGCTGCCGAGCAGGGAGACCTCAGAAAGGCTCACTCCGGCTGTCATATTTGTGGTTGGCTCATGGTCAAATTACATGCAATGGAAAAGGTGTGCACGAGACTCCTTGTACCCACAACTTTCTTTGTTCCTTGATAAAGGAGTCTTGGAAAAACCACCCGCTACTCATGTGTCAATCGCAGCATCGGTGCTCCAAGCTCACGTGCATCGATGCTCACTGTGTCGCTCTGCTCCTTTGTGGGGTTTCGGAGAACAGACTGACACACGAGGAGTTCACGGCCCAGCTATGGCTCACGGCTTTGCCTTGTCTGGAGCTGGCACCAAACCACCGCCGGTCTGGTCAAGGGGTCGAGCGCATCCGTCACACTGAGCGACGGCTGTGGTAAGGGGTCTGCTGCCGGGCGGGCATTGCCCTGGGGGCAGTTGTTTTTTTTTTTTTTTGGTGGGTTTTTTTTTCGTAAAAAAACCTCTAAAATATTCCAAGCCCATCCAAATCCACCATTTCTCCAAATTCCCTCCCCACCTTTCTTCATTCCCTTCCAACAGCAAGAAAATCTATTCGTTGAAATAAATTCGCTCAAGTCAATAGCTTATGGACCTGCCTGGATTATAGACAAAATGCTGCTTTCAAAAGCGCACAGAAAATGCTCGATAAGCTTTTTCTGGTGCAGTGGCCCAGCAGCAATGACAGATCAATGATAGCTTAGCTTGCTGAGCAGAAGGTATAGAAGTAAAAACTTGTAGGTGGCGGTGTACTGTTTTACCTAAGAAAACTATTCATTTCTTCTAACCAGAGAACTGGGATGAAGCTCCTGTTTATGCAGTCTTTTATTATGGAAATGCTTTTTGCTTCCAGAGGACATACTCATCAGGTCTGCTGCAGAGCCAGTGCTTCTTTGTGTGGCACAGGGACGAACTGATCCTCTCCTGGTTCAGGTATGCACAGTGTCCACCGCCCCGCACCTCAAACCTGCAATGCAGGCACACTCAGAAGAGCAAGAAAAGGAGGCAAAGAAGAAAGCTACCCCCAAAAAATTAAGGAAAGCTGGGATTTCCTCTCTAGGAGAGAAGGGGTGGTGTTTGGATGAGGGTATCTAATAGGGGATTGGTGTGCAGCATCCTTGGTTCATCCCAAACCTCCCATGGAAAGCCAGGGGCTGCTTGGGCACGGTGGCAGCAGAAGGTCCCCATCCCAGACCCTCCAAGAAATCCCATCCAAGGGGGAGAAGCAATGCAAGAGCTCCCTGGGGCCATTTCCAGCCACACCAAGAGGCAAACCTGCCCCAGCTGCCAACCCCAAGCACCCAACATGGACAGAGGGACTGACCAGTTGTTGAAGGCTGTGCCATTGCTCCACCACCAGCTGTTATACTCCTTTCGCAGCCCAAACCAATGGTTAGCCTCGCCTTTATAGCGTTTAATGAAGGCCTTCAAAGCAAAGAAACGTCATGTTTTAGCTAATCTTGTCTTCCCTACCTCCTCTTTTCCACCTCTGTCCATCATCCCACCCAGAGATGGTGCTTTCCCCAAGGCATCTGCTCCTGGCTATAGCGCTGGGTGCAATTTGGGGCCAAGCAGGTTTTTGGTCTGGTTTTCTTTTCCTCTCTTTTTTTTTTTTGTCTCTTTTTTGGTTTTGTTTTTGCTTTTTCCGTGTTTCCCACTCTGGTGCTAGTGTAGGGGCTCAAGTGCAGTTCTTACCAGTTCATCCATGGTGGTTATGAGGGCCAGTGAAGCTCCCAGGGCCTCACAGCTTTCCTGACTGGTGGTCCAATTGCTTTCGGTCTCAGAAAAATAATAACATTTCCCTTGGAAACCAAGCCAGGTGCCTGGGCACACGTGGGAGAAGTCTGGGTGAGGCAAATGGGGTCCTGTATGTGCAACTGAAAAAGAAAAAGCTGAGTGAGAGGCGTGGGCAGCCCTAAAAAGCAGGAAAATGGGATTTTTTATTTTTTTTTTCCTAGAAGCTGCAGGGGAGAATTGGGGACAATACCTTTGGGAAAGCGTATGGCGTGACCGAGCAAGGAGCCAGGATGCCTGGATCACAGTTTAGAGAAAAAAGGGGGTTTCCCCCCCAAAGTGGGCTTGGTGCTTTGCTTGGGGAGCATCCCTTGATGCTGGGAAAATCTTGTGATTCCCCCTTCCCCGAAACAGGGGCGCCTGGTCCAGATCCTTCCCATGAGGGATGCCTGGATAGGACTCACCAGCCAAGGCCACCAGCAGGGCGAAGATGAGGAGCACCAGCACCATGCACACAGGGATGAAAACGCACAACGAGCAAGATCTTTCCCGGTATGACTTCTTGGTGTTTGACGCTGGGGGAGGAAAGAGCAGGAGAGGGTGTGGGCTGGGTCCTTTTTCCCCCACTTTGCCGTTTTTCTGCTGGATCCTCAGTCCATCCCAAGCCCCAGCTGGGACAGGGGCCTTTCTGGGGCTCGGGAGGGTGGGGAGAGCTCGCAGAGGCTCAAGGGGCTGCCTGCAAGGCAGGGAGAGCAGACGTGTGTCCTTCAAAGGCACCGATGTATGATTGAGGACCTGGAGATAGATTTAGGCTTTTCAGCCTTTAGAGGTGGCCACATCATGAAATTTAGGGTAGACGTGCTTGAGTCCATCTGCACTCACCCAAAAACTCCATCCCCATCCCACTGGTGCTGCACCGGAGCGAGATGCCCGTCCCATCCCCTGCCCTCACCCAGAGCGTTGTTTTTTTCCCAGCATTACCCCGTTTGTTCTCTTTCTCCACATCACTGTGGCGGTTCAACACTTCCTCTTCGTCTGAAGAGTTTGGCTTTTGCTCTCCCTTCCCCATGGCAAGCAGAGAAGCGCTCAGCCCAGGGGTTCACGTTCACTGGCGTCTGCGGGGACCGTGGCTCAGGCTACGTGTTAACAAGGAGAAGTCTGAGAAAGTCCGCAGCCAGCCTTGCCTCCCACGTTTGCAAGATCCCATCAAGCTGTCTGGGGCCTTTTTTTTGCCTCTGCAACACCCCAAGACCTTGTGGGCACCAGGTACCGTGGTAAGCCATGGCAGGGGAGTGCGTTTGTCCTATGCTAAAAACACATCAGGGGTCAGAGAAAGACGGAAAAAAGCAAGACAAAGAAGAACAAAAAGTGAAAGAAGCTGAAAAGAGAGGGGGGGGGGAAAGGAGAGAGGAGGGGGAAGAAAAGGGGAAAGAGGAGGGAAAAAAGGAAGAGAGCGGGGAAAAAAGAGAGAGAAAGAGAAGTTTAAAGGGAGTTTAAATATTAAAAGAAAAATGTAATTTATTACTATTTACAGTTTAAAGAGAGTTTAAGGGTTTACAAAGGGAGGCAAGTCTGCTGAGGGGTCAGGAGCCATTGCTGCAGGAGGGGGGCAAACTCCCTGACGAGTCAAAGCGGAGATGGGGTTGAAGCGGAGATCGTGGTTTAACAACCCCAGAAACCCAGAGGAGAGAAGAAAGCTAAATTTAAAAGAAAACTACCACTACCGTTCAAGTTCCACGCCTAGCCGCTGCTCACAGAAAATTTGTTTTGCTCTCTGGAACAAAGACCTTATCTCAGTTCCTCCAGCGCCCTTGCACAAGAGCAAAGGGCAGACTTGTTTTTCTATACACAAACCAATGGGGTTTATTTCCATGCAACAGCTTTTATTTCCTCCCTGGGTCTTGTGTACTTTAGCGTTATGAAATAAGCTAACAAAAGCCTACCAAGAACGTGCGCTGACAAGTTAGGCCTGGTATAACAGTAAAATTTTATTCCAGCAATAAGCTCTAAAGCCACATAGGGGCAGGGTTTGGCTGTCGGTAAATAGAGCAGGAAAAAGTGCACAGAATTTAGAATTTCCCTTCCCCTGCACGGGGGATTTGCAGGAGGAAAATTCAGTGCTCGAGGTTGTGCTCGGATATAGTGTTTCTGAAGCAGGTTTAGGGTTAAATTTGGCAGTAGAGTAGAGGAAAAGTCGTAACAGTGGTGGGCTAGGAAGGGGTGCTGCTTCCCCATCCCTGGAGGGGCCCAAAACTCAACAGGACAAGCCCAGGCTTTGTCCTGTTTCTGAGCAGGGTTTCAGCTGGAAACCCTCCAGCCCTGGGCTGAGCTGTTACTGCTGGAGCATTAAGATAATATTTGAGAAATTGTTGACTGGAGATAAGTCCTACAGCAAGCTTTCGGTTTCCCCATTTCAAGTTGAAAATTTCTGTTCCGCTTTTGGCTCTGCTTTGTAATGACGATTGTAAAAATTAAACAAAATTCCCTTAAAAAAGACCCCGTGGATGTTTGTGGTTTTCACCCGCCCCAAAAATAAGAGATCACACAGGGCAGCCTGAGCTCCCGCCCAGGTTTTAGCCCTCCCAAGCCCACTGTGGTTTCCAGCCCGTCCACTCCAGCTCCCCAAAACTCACTATTAATTGCACTTAATTAACTTAATTAACTAATTATTAATTCCATTCCAGAGAAAGCAACTCTGTTAGCTAGAAGGGGATGAAAAAAAATCGGCATGAAAAGTGCTTACAAAACAGCAAAATAGAGAGAAAAAAAAATTAAAAACCAGCTGAAAAAAACACATCCAGAAACTCCAAAGAGTTATATATAAAAGATCCAATAAAAGAGGCGGGGGGACAGGGCACCCGTGGTGGCAAAAGTTTTCATAAAACCAGCTGAGAAGTGGGGATTTGGTTTTTAATTTCCTTCCCTTCAATTCGCCGCTTTTAATTTAGCCGGTTGATTACTTCAGCCCTAAAAATGAGAGACCTCTCTCTGGGTGGTCCTCCCCATCCCAGCCCCAGAATCGCTCCAGCAGGTACTGACTCATCCAGCCCCGATTTTTAAAGGAAAGAAGGCACTTTCCCCAGCACTTACCTTTGCAGCAGAGCCTGCGCAGCCTCTAAATAACTTCCTCATGCAGCTCGAGTATCGTTGCGCGCGGGGCGGAACTACGCCTTTCCCCAGGCCGTGGTACGCGCTGCTTGGCTGCGCCCCAAAGTCTGTGCGTTATCCTTGGAGAGTCATCTTGAGCTCCTAGGCAAGGCAAAGGGGTGAAGGAGCAACTCAAGAAACCGTCGGTTGCTTTATGCTTAAGAGTTTCCAAGCCAGAAGAGGAGGGTTTTTTTCTATTACTTTGTGCTGAATAAATCCAGCCAAGTGGGGATTTTTAACAGAGCCCCGTAGGTGGGTGGTGCTGAAAGCACTGTGCTCTCTGTTCTGCAAAGGTTTGCAGTCATTTCTCAAGTGCTGGTTTGAAATCGTGTGCATGCAAAGCAGGGGTCAGGCTGTGCTAAGACGGCTTTGAATCAGCTCTTCTCGCTACAGCAGAGGAAAAGCCAAGGCGCGAGGCTTGCTGCTGCTTTCCTCCATCGGGGAGGAAAAGCAACAGCCTCGAAGAAAAACTGGCCCAGAGAGATGAGAAAATGCTCCAAGGAGAAGGAGGTGCAAGATGCGAGTTTAAACCCAGTGGGAAAAGCCCTTGGGGAGGAGGGCTGGAGGCACTGAAGATGGTGAAAAAAGACGTGGGAAGACTCTGAGCTGCCCTGGGAAAGCCCCCGTGGCTGTCATTGCAGGCGTAAGCATCTGAGGTCTGGCGGGGTTATCTGGCTGCAGGCACGTGGTGTCTTGTTGGCTGCCTGAAACAGCCTCTTTTAGCCCCATAAAAGGACTGTTTTTCAGGGACTTGAATAGCTTGATTGGTGCTGACCGGATCCTGGTTCGCCCCATCCCCTGCCTCATGGGAATAATTTCTTCTGTTCTCACCAAACTGGGGGCTGCCTGCCCTGCCTGGTGGGTGATACGGGAAAGATGGGGCCAGGCTCTTCTCGGGGTGCACACGGAAAGACAGAGACGGCGCAAGCTGCAGCAAGGATGATTACCAGGAGATCAAGATATATTTTCATTCTTATTGGGATGTGGTTGGGTTTGAGTCCAACCCACCGTTTCTTGTTGTCATCCCCCACCGGTTTCTGCCTTCAAACTCTCTTGGAAATGTGTGCTTGGAGGTGCACGTCACTGTTCTGCATGGTCCCCATCTTTCTTTGAGCGTTGGAGACCTTTGGGGCTTGGGAGGCTCTTTGCACCCTCTGTGATGGCCCCCCCTTTTCCCCAGGGAAACTGCCCACCCTCCCCATTTGGAGAAAAAAAATTAATATATGTATTATAAAATGAATAAATGCTGCTCTAGCCGTCTGCAAGCCATCATCATTTGGGTGAGCTGGCTGGGGCGATGGTCGGGGGGGATGCCAAGGGTGTGGGGGGAGCTCCAGCCCCCTGACCCCAGGCATCCTCTCCCCAGGGAAGAAGGAGGTGGCCGTGCTCATCGCCACCTGCCCAAACCCCCAAGCCTGAGATCCACCTTGACCTATCGAAGATGCGTCCAACAAAGGTGCTCATATGCAAGGCAAGCACCCGCGGAGAGAAATAACTCCTCGTGGGCCAGTACTTTCCACAGGTAAAGATGAGTCAAGAAGTAAGGGAGACCATGAGTCATAAGAAGTGGCTTCGGGTCTTGCTGCTTCTTTCGGTATTTGTAGAAAATACTGTCAGGACATGCAAGATCTAACTCATCCATCTAACTGCTCTAACCACAAACCCTAAGACTCAGAGCTGTGTCACGGGTGTCAAAGATTTGGGTATCCCTCCCTTGCTGGTCTGGGAGGCCATTGCTTGGGTTACAGTGGTGATTATCATGCCATCAAGTGTGGAGGCAACAGCAGAGGCAACGCATGCAAAAAAAAAAAAAAAAAAAAAAAAAAAAAAAAAAAAAAAAAAAAGGGACACCAGACTGGGCATGGCCAGACCACCACTTAGGGTGACAGACAGGTTTTTCCCCAAAGTGAGAACAGGCTGCAAAAAAAAAAAAAAAGCACAGTCACAGCTCCATGGTCAGGCACAGAAGTCTGTGGAAGGAGGATGAGCGCTCCCAAATCATCAAGGTTGCGGGTGCTTTCTTCTTTGGCATCCAGTGTTTTACTATCTTGAGGTTCCTCATCTTTCCCAGAGGTGGGTCTCCCACTTTTTCTTGTCAAGAAAGAGCCTGAGTCCTCAGCAGCCTCCCGAGAAAAGGTGTCGCAAGCTGTCCCCAGCACCCCAAAGCCCATGCCCACCACTGATCCCGGGGTCGGGGGGGGCTGGTTTTCTCGCACAGCCTTTTGCTGCCCCATTGTACCAAAAATCGGCTGTTCTGCCTCAGAAACTCAATTGCATCATGCGTTGTCCCTAATCCTTCTTCCCACCACATCTCCTCTGTCATGCAAGAGGGGATGTTATGAAAGGTACAGATCAATGTGTTAAGAAAGCTTTTTTCCTTTGAAAAACCACCCTGCTCCAACCACCCCCCATTTAGAACGCTATTTTTTTTAGAAGGAGTAGCCAGAAATAAAAGAAGAGAGAAATGCACGTTTCCTTTGGAAACTGATACCTGCACATCTGCAAAAAACACGTGTATTTTCTCCCATCTGAGGCTGTGGCCAGCTCTTGCAGATACGTGTGCTCTGAAGGACGCACAGACGACGGCGTAAAGTCACCAGGACAAGTAGGAATAGTTTTCCATCAAACACACCAACCCCTATATTCAGGCCCACAAAATGCTCTTGAACCAGTAGAAAAACAAGCGCCAAGTTCCTCTGCAATCAAGGCAGGAGTTTTCTCCAGCAGTCTGGGGTTTTTTTTTCTTTCAAAGATGACAAATTTTGCAAGAGAACCATCCTTCACACAAATTTTTACAGCAAAAGCATCGTCACTTCTGAGTTAGCCATTGAAATAGCAACTTTGGCCACAGCAGGAGAAACAGAAAGCTGCTGCTTGGTTAGTTAGAAGAAACTCTACTTTGATAGAGATAACTGGTTTCCT